TAGAAATTTGAGGATGTCATGTCTCTTTAAGTTTGCCTATGTCACTGTAACTCGGAGGAAAGAATCTCTCTCTCATATATATATATATATATATATATATATATATATATATATATATATATATATATATATATACATATATATATATATGTGTGTGTGTGTGTGTGTGTTATATAAATAAATAAAAGGTGCATGTCACAGGAAAGAGTAGTGATGTTACAAATATGACAATTGCTTAAACTACAGAACAGTAAATTATTTAATCTATAATTAACATGGCCCTTAACATCCCCAGCTGTACACAATAACACACATTAAAGCAATGTTAATACAAAGCTGTAAAGTAGAGTGAGACGTTGATAATAACTTCCTTATGTTTTTTGAATGTATAAATTTAATTATAAAGGACTAAAACACCTAAAACTATTGGTGATTTTACAACATTTAAAAGCCTGAGATTTTACTGAAATTGGGGCTACTGGGGCTCACTGGCCTTAGATGTAATGAGCGAACTGGAAGTGCTGAATACATCGCTCCAAAAAAGCACCCAGACATTGGAGGGCATGGTCTCTGCAGTCTCAGTTGTCCAAGAGAGATTACGGGACAAAAGAAAGCCAGCCCACTTTGAGGCAGTCTTTAAGGAAGCAGTGGATATGGCTGAGAAGCTGTCTCTAACACATAGGCCCCCAAAGAGATATTCTGGGCCAGCACCTGCACACAGGCCAGAATCTGCTGTGGAGTACCACAGAGTGGAGTTCTACAGAGTCCTTGACAAAGTAGACACACAACTTTCTTCATTTGAGGCCATTTATTGAAAAGCCATGTAAAGTACTTATTTACAAATTTGTTTTTGTATATATGTAGGCTTTGCTGTTCGTGTTTCTGTGTGTTTACAGCCTGCACTTAAAGTCAGTCCATGTTTAAATAAAACCTTTTTTTTTTCACACGTCATGTGGCATGTTTGGTGAGTACTTGGTACCAATACATGTTATTTTCTTGCAATGATGGGCAATTAAGATTGATGGGTTGTCATAGCTGAGTAATAGCCAGTAATAGGGCTCGGGATCCACGTTGCATTGTGGGACGTCGCAGCCACACTGACTGCTACGCAAACGTAAGCATAGCTCTGACACAACGTTGTTGTTGAAAGAAGAGACAGAAGTAGAGAGAAAAAAGATGTTAAAATCCCGAAAAGGATCTGGAATTTACCGGGACACATTAAATAGAGAAGCCAGGGACCGGTATGGTGACAAAATCAGCTTTATTAATCATTTGGATCCATATGAAGTTCCAAACAATGAGTGGAGCACCGATGAGTGAGCGCCTATACTTCAAAACAGTTCCCAAGCTACAAGTCCTTGGAGTCTCATGTGCAGTTCATGAATGGATGGGTTCAGGAGCTGCAGATCATAAAGCCAGCAAACAGTGGGAACACAGTAATCCGTACGAAGGTAAGCTGTGACCAGACGGGCTCTGGAACCTGCTAGTTTATCAACTGCTAACCGCTAATGCTAACAACCACTCACGCATGTAATGTACTTTTAACTAGCTGCTATGTGTTTCAAAGGTGTAGTTAGTAACGTTAACTGCCAACCCTCCGGGTTTCTCACGTATTTGAGCCTTTTCCCGCTGCCGTTTTTATTATTTTCCCGTAAAAGATCCCAACTTTGAAGGAAAGAAACAAAGTAGGCTATAAAATAAAACCGTGCATCTTTAACTTACCAGAATGAAAATGCAGGGAACACGCTCTCATTGACATCGGGATACTGTGGAAAGTTATGTTCGGTCGTCGTACAGCCGCGATCCAAGCTAGCCGACGACTCTTTATCTCTGACGCTTGGTCTCCATGGTTATGCCTCCAGTCAGGAAAGCGGTGGAAAGTTAACCCATTTTCTATGTTTCCATGGCGATCATGTGTTGAGCTGTTACAGCCCACAATACAGCAACGGTTTACCATGGTTGAAATCAAGTTAAGGTGAAATTAAATAAATTAAAACACGGCTGAGAGGGAGTACAGTACGCGGTAGTCATAGGCAGTAGTCTGAGCTGCGGTAAAAGACACATTCAACATGGCGGCGACGCAAAGTGCTTACGTCACGATGACCAAGCCCTATAGTAACTGTCCCCCACAGTTTCAAAAACCTATCTGCGCCCCTGCCTTGAGCTGCAGATGGTTCTGCTCACACCAGGTGACAAACTTGTCCACCACACCGCTACAGCTGAAGACTAAAGGAAACTATTTTGAGAACAACAACGTCTATTTTCTGGCCAAGTAAGACAGATACTTGAGAAGAGGGGTTAAGGGGGCCATGTTTGTTACCCTGGACACACCACCTCTCAGCAGAGGAGGTGGTCTGAGACCTTTTACCTACTTACAAAGCATTGTGAAGAATGATACCAAGAACATTCACCTCTCACCCGCCCTCACCTGACTCCATCTTCAAAGAGGCATATGACCGGAACCGCGCTAATGAGGGAGTTAACGACCCATCAGAACTCCCTATGACCATTAACACCCCCCAAGTGACCTCCATGGCCAATACACAGATCATAGCCACCTCCAGATCCTCCTAATTCTTTGTTTCACCTACAGTATATTAATCCCGGTGCTTATCACCACTAGTTAGACCTGAAGAAGCCTCTTGGATGAAACGTCTTCTAGAAACTTTACATCCAGCTGCCTAGACTGAAGCTTTCGACTCTTTCAAGCTAGACCATGACGTGGATGACAGCTGATGTTAAAACAACTGTTGATATCATAGCTTGATAATTGTCCTAGATTGCTACGATGACCTGAGATGTTCTCTGACATTAAAATCATGGTCAGACTGGACAAAGAAAATCCCTTTAGAACTTTCCAGATCTGAAGACCCTAATGAAAAGTGGCTTACAGTTTGCTGCTAACCCCTAGTTTCACTTCAGATAAATCCCACTATTTACAGCAGTTACCATTCAAAATTTCTTTCCTTGAAAACTTTCCCTTGAAGTGCCCTTGCCTGGTCCCCTGAGATTCTTTTTTAAACACCTAAAATATTCTTTTTGTCTTGATTTGTGGATATTAAGATCTAAAGAGAATGATCATCTCCTGGTCAGACCCTGTATCTCAGTGAAAGAGTGAAAAAAATATGCACGCCCAGGAGAAGGCCAGTGGCTGGAAGTTGGAGGGGATATTGCTGCCATTCAGCTGGCTTTTGACTGGAAAGGGCCATTTTTAATGGCTGCTTCTGTAAGATCAGAATCTTAGGACAATAAAAACACTTTCTCCTAAATCTGATCTTTGGGAACAATTTTGTTTAAAAATAATCTTAAACAAGCTTCATCAGCACATACACACCAGGGTCACCGCCTTTTACTTTCATACAGAGATGGCAAAAGTACTCACTTTCTGTACTTGAGTAAAAGTACAGATACTTGTGTTAAAAAATACTCTGGTAAAAGTGGAAGTACTGATTAAACTTCTTTACTCAAGTAAAAGTAACAAAGTACAGGCTTGTAAATTTACTTAAAGTATAAAAGTAAAAGTAGAAACCACTTTTTTCATGCCGTTGCCTACATTTTAAATGGATGTCTGCCAATAGGACTAGATCTCCGTTGTGTTCATTTTCAATCATCTCGTCGTCCATGCTACTATGCTAACGCCACCGCCACCAAGCTGCAATGATTTGCCGCCAATGAATACCGCCGAATCTGTCGATTCATCTTGTAGTGGTGCGTCAAATGCAACGTAGATTCCCATCCAATTAGATTGAATTTGGTATTGATGACGTGAAAAATAATAACGGTAACTCCATTGAAATGATTCAAAACTAAAGTAACGAGACAATTTTTAAAAATGTAAGGAGTAGAAAGTACAGATATTTGTGTAAAAATGTAAGGAGTAGAAGTAAAAAGTCGCCATAAAAATAAGTAGTAAAGTAAAGTAAAAATATCAGAAAAATCTACTTGAGTACAGTAATGAAGTATTTGTACTTCGTTACTTCCCATCTCTGCTTTCATATTAATTGAGAACTTAATATGGGCTCCAACAATATTGTTAAACCAAATCTATATAAGATGTGTCAAAAGTATTAATATTTATTGCTGTAGTAGAGGAATAAATACTGCTGTTTAAAAACACCTTTATAGAAGTTAATGGATAAATATGAAGCTTTTTACTCCAGTAAAAGTGTAAAAGTACCATTTTAAAAATACTTAAAGTGTAACAGTAAAAAAGTAATGCAGGAAAAACTGTAAAGGCCAGAAGCTTTACTGCTCTACCCTATTAAAGGAGCATTTTTCTACCATTCTGGATGATAACTTCCTTAGACTTCATTTTATTAGTTTTATAACTAATGGTAACAGAGTCACATTTAATTTTGCATCATCTTGAAAAATTATTTTGTTTTGTGGTGAGCAACAGGTTGGGGCAGCACCGAGTCCAACCACAAAGAAATTAACTGTCTGGATTAAACTAATTATTTAGATGTTTTTTTGTTGTTGTTTTTTTAAATCCCAACAGGCCATAATGAAATTGAGCTTAAAAGAAACTAACAAGTCTATTTCTTAAGGTGTAGAAGTAAAACGTTGTCTAAAAAAATAATTACTCCTGTAAAATATAGATAGCCAATATTTGTACTTCAGTAAGGTAAGGAAGGACTTGACACCTCTGTTTGAATATAGTCAATAAAAACTCTGGTCAATACCTTTAGGTCTTTAAATGATGTGTATTTTGCTTTTATTAGGGTATAAAACATTAAAACAAGTGAAAGAAAATCCAATAAAGATATTGTTTGAGCATTTTAAAATAACCTCTGGTCAGAAACAAGAATTAAAGTTATAAGAGTCAAGACGGTGTTTATCACTTCAGAACTCAACAGATGGACAGTTCGGAGGTGGGAAAATCCAACTGGTACTTAGGTTCACTTTTTATAGACTCATTTTTGTTTATGACTTTATATGTTTGGTTTACTATGGTTACCGTGTTGAAATGTATATAATCCTTATCTAGTTTCATTGCTTACCTCATTTGGAGGGTAGTAGTCATAAAGTAAATGCCAAGGCCGAGCTCTTGGTAGCTGTCGGATCACATAATGGTCCAAAGGAAACGGGTGGAAGGTTTGCCTCCCCTTCACGTCTCGAGTGTCGACTGGCTCCACCTTCATTTTCTCCATACAGCTCCCCAGAGCCATGTCCTCTATGTCAGAGAAGTGAGTACACTCTCCTGTGTGAAAACCGTTTACAAATCTTCTCAGTGCCTCTTTACTCAGGACATAACCTGCTCCTCCGCTCATGTAGCCTTGACTGATGAACGGGCGAAACCTTCGACCTAAGTACAATGGCTTTCCTGGGTCCAGTTTGGATACGATGTACTGCAGGTTCTCTATGACCACATAAGTATCATCATCCGCCTTGAGGAACCAGTCAGCTTCATCCATGTGGTGCTGGTGGATGTACTGGAATGCCCTGATGGTTTTCCAGTACAGGTTTTCCCTCCCTTCGCTCACGTTCAGCCCAACGGTGGGAAAATCTGTCTTTACTGAGCTCATGTACAGCACTTTGTGGCAGTGTTTAGTCCAGGTTTGTTTCAGATGCTTTGTCCGGGATTCCAGGTACTTGGGTCCAGTCAGAATCCAACATAAGATCCGTGTAGAGTTAGGGAAACCTCCTGCAGAGTTGTCCTTTTTACTTGGTTCTAAAAATTCGGAACAAAATACATGTTTAGCATAATAAAATCACTGGAGCAGTGAAGACTCACATCAACTAATTTTGGTTTGGGTTTGATGCATTTTTGTTCCATGCAGAACTTTGCAGACATATTTTTGGCAGTATTTCATACTGGGTACTGCTTTCCCCTGACAGAGATGGGAAGTAACGAAGTACAAATACTTGGTTACTGTACTCAAGTAGATTTTTCTGATATTTTTACTTTACTTTACTACTTATTTTTATGGCAACTTTTCACTTCTACTCCTTACATTTTTACACAAATATCTGTACTTTCTCCTCCATATTTAAAAAAATTGGCTCGTTACTTTAGTTTTGAATCATTTCAATGGAGTTACCGTTATTATTTTTCACGTCATCAATACCAAATTCAATCTAATTGGATGGGAATCTACGTTGCATTTGACGCACCACTACAAGATGAATCGACAGATTCGGCGGTATTCATTGGCGGCAAATCATTGCAGCTTGGTGGCGGTGGCGTTAGCATAGTAGCATGGACGACGAGATGATTGAAAATGAACACAACGGAGATCTAGTCCTATTGGCAGACATCCATTTAAAATGTAGGCAACGGCATGAAAAAAGTGGTTTCCACTTTTACTTTTATACTTTAAGTAAATTTACAAGCCTGTACTTTGTTACTTTTACTTGAGTAAAGAAGTTTAATCAGTACTTCCACTTTTACCAGAATATTTTTTAACACAAGTACCATATCTGTACTTTTACTCAAGTACAGAAAGTGAGTACTTTTGCCATCTCTGTCCCCTGATTTGCCCAATATTCTAACAGACTCTAGGGATCAATGTAGGCCACAGACTGGGTGCCTACAACAACAGACTACATGGAGAAGAACAAAACACAGTTGTTTCCAATATTTTCATGCCTCTTCGTATCATCAAAGGTAGGATATGAGATCTTTTTTCTTATCTAAAATCCTCCTTCTCACATATAAAGCCTTAAATGGCCAAGCTCCATCTGATATCAGAGATCTGATTGTTCCTGATGTTCCTAACAGAGCACTTCGCTCTCAATCTGCAGGTTTACTAGTGGTTCCTAGAATTTCTAAAAGTAGAATGGGAGGCAGATCTTTTAGTTCTCAGGCTCCTCTCCTGTGGAACCAACTACCAGTTTTAGTCCGTGAGGCAGACACCCTGTCTACTTTTAAGGCTAGGCTTAAAACTTTCCTTTTTGATAAAGCTTCTAGTTAGAGTGGCTCAGGTTATCCTGATCTATCTCTATAGTTCTGCTGCTATAGGCTTAGACTGCTGGAGGACATAGGGACCCCTTTTTCATCATTCTGCTTCATTCTATCTCTATTCTCCCACTCTGCAGAATCTGTTAGTTCAATCTCTAACGTTCTGCTCTCTCTGCTTTTCCTCATAGTAGCTTCATCTGGTCTGTTCCTGTTTGGCTGTGACTGTCACGCAGACAGTTACCTGATCTCCATGTTTGGGGGATAAAGCATCATATTTGCTTAACATGAAGTCAGAACATTCCTTTAAATACAGTTTAGATTTCTGATCTCAGGTTAAAATTTAGTTAGCTTTTATTTTTACAACTTCTCTGCCAAACTTGTCAAATATACAATATTCTTATCTATTCAGCAGGCCGGCTGTTTTTATGAAGGCAGTTTATTTTATGGTGGCTCTTAAAGAACATCATAACCTTTGGATCAGATAAAGGCTTTTAAATAAAGGAAAGATAATACATTGGTCCAGCCGGAAAGCAGCAAATGCAGGATATCAGGGAATCTCAAATGTATACAGTATCCTGGAAATAAAGGAAGTGCATTTTATAAACCTGCTTTATTTGGGTTTTAAATGGCAATTCCTCACTAAAAATATAAAACTATTTTTTTTGGTTTGTTTTGTTTTCTATCCTGTTTTGCTAATATGGCTCTGGAGGTAGATGATACCCCAACAGCTTTGCTTTTACAGGCTCAGCATTATGACTATAATGTTCTGCCTTATACTTGTATATGACACTTTATTCAAAATTATTTAGGGAGTACAATTGCAAACAAAGGATGTGGAAAGGGGGGTTAGAATGAAAGAAGGGATAAGAACTAACAGAAAATAAAAACTTCGCAGTCATGGCGCCGGGCTCAGATACCGGTGTACGGTTTATTGCAGGAGCTGGGCAAAAACAACCCCTGGATGTATGGAGTCATTTTGTTTATAACGGGAAGGAAAAACAAGCAACCTGCATGATAATGATTGATCATGCCGCCGATGCCGGGTAACTAGCTTGTGTGTGTGCCTTCCTGTGCCTGTATCTGTCTCTCTGTCATTGAAAAAAGATGTTCCACTGATACTCTGGATATCAATCATTTGAATTTCTTCCTCCCAACTAGATTCCTGACACAGTGACACCACAGCCACATCAGAGGTTGGGGAAGGACAGGAAGTCTGTTGCAGAGATGTTGGGAGCCCCCCCCCCACCGTACAAACTTGATGCCAAAGAGCAGAAAGCCCTGGAGAACTCAATGGCAAAGTGGATTGGGTGTTCTGGCCTGCCTAAATTTTACCACTGAAGGAGCAACAGCAGGGCCCAATTGCTTTTTACCGAAGAAGCTGCTAGAAGCTGCAGATGGAGAAGGGGCCGCAGAGGAGCTGCAACATGAAGGCACAGGTTAGCTACCAGCTATATGCCGTAGCTGAAGGACGTCCCAGGCTAACATGAGTTATAAAATTAACCCCCCTGCAAAGCTGCCTCTTATTATTGCATCAGATTAATCCAAATCTCTTTGAGAGCTGCTGAAGGACAAACGGACAGGACTGAAGACCGGAACCTGCAGAACACCGAACCGAGGCGAAGGCCTTCACTCCACCGAACCATAATAGTAACATTATCTTTCCCTCAGCCAGAGGCTTAATACGGGCTCTGCTTGGGTGAACTAGGTAGAATAGATAGTTGTGTTTGCGTTTTATTTTAAATAAGCCTTCTGAATCAACTGCTGATGGTTTTAAGAATTGAAGCAGCTGTCTAGCTCAAATGGTAAGCCGCACAATGGCAGCCCACTGCTCTCCCAGGGGATGGGTTAATTGCAGAGGGAATTTTGTTGCTCTGTACTTCTGACAGTGGAATGACAATAAATAAATAAAAAAGCTGGAAGCCTTTCTTTCAGAATTAAAACTTCTAAAAGTTCTTTAAATACACATCACATTTCTGACTGTATATCCCTGTAAATATTACACACTGTAGCTTTAAACACCTGCCCTGCACCTCTGTTGTACAACGCAAACTGCCCTGGATCTGATTGTGTGTTAGCTTTGCATTAGCATATTCCCCCAACTAACAACATCATTATTCCTCCTATTGTTAGGTCTTATTAATGTTCCCTCTTCAGGTCGGAGGCCTCATCTTTGTGTTCCTTCACTGTAAAGTTATATCCTGGGCTAACAGCAGCTCAGCTGGTCTATCGTGGCACAAAAACACATTATAATGTCACAGCCATAACAGAACCTGTCCTAACAGGGTCACATGCATGATGACTCTAGCTCGCCATGCCTGTGATCTTTTTAAGACACTTGGCTGAACAGAGTGACTCTAGATATGCTTTTAGCTGAGAAAGCAGGAGTTTCTTTGATGTTTTGCTGCCTTTATTGTTCCTTAATCCCTCCTGATGGTCGCGGTAACTAAGGCTTTGATTGGACTGCGTATTGTTGGGACTTGCCTGGAGCGTTTAGTGCTGTTTTTAGTCAATGGACATTTTTTATTGTTGCTTCAATTGCTGTGGCTGTTGTGAAATTCCCATCTTTGTTCTTTGTTGTCAAATGTTTGTATTTCCTTTAATGATTCATTGGCTTAATTATTATTTACCCCTCAAATGATGGTGTATTTGTTCTCATTTTAAAAAAATTGGTGAAAGTTAAAACAAACACCGAAACTGACGTACCTTTGAAAATTCGTTTGACAAGTTAAACTACATAAATCCTGCAATGCTCTTTCATGCTATGATTTTATGATGATTTTGTAATTTATTTACAAAGTTATGCTTAAGAAGAGTTTTAACCAATGAATAACAATGAAAAAAAATGTATTGACTGTTTGGCTGTAAAAAAAAAAAAAGTTATTGGTTCCTTTCAATATTAATGAGCATTTCAACAGACTTCATAGCAAGAGTGTAGTTTGTTTGCGGAATGACTGATGGTACTGCACCGTAAGATTTTAGTTTTCCTTCTTGTTCTTTAATATGTTCTAATCTCAGATATATTGATGGAGGAAAGGTTCCTTTTTTGATCAAACGGGTTGAAATATCAATTCCGCATTATTTTAACAGTATGTATTGATTTTATTTGTCTCCTACACACCAATGTCCACTCAGGCTGTCCCACACCGGCAAGGCAACTCGCTGCCTGGATTTGATTCATGGCTCTTTGCAAAAGAGGTTAAGATAGGTGGAAAACTCTTTCTAGATGAGAATAGGACTGGGTGTGTGAGTGTGAGGAGGATTGTCTCACTCTCACCTTTACAAAGATAAATAAATTGCTGATTAACTGCCATTGATGTAACTTTATTGAATTAAAAATGAAGAATTGAATTTTTTTTTTTAGGTTGCTCAGTGGAGCAGTGTTTAGCGCTACTGCTCTGCAGCAAATAGGTTCCAGGTTTGATTCCCGGCCCGGGGTCTTTCTGCATGGAGCTTGCATGTTCTCCCTGAGCATGCGTGGGTTCTCTCCGGGTACTCCAGCTTCCTCCCACAGTCCAAAAACATGACTGTTAGGTTAAATGGCTCCTCTAAATGCTCCTTAGGTGTGAGTGTGTGTGAATGGTTGTTTGTCTCTGAGCTGCCCTGATATGGACTGGAGACCTGTCCAGGGTGGACCCCGCCTCTCACCTGTAGACAGCTGGAGGTGGGCACCTGCACCCCTCAGCAGGGATAAAGCATGAAGGAAATGGATTAGTTTTTTTTTTTTTTTTGTTATAACAGATTTGAGCAACAAGTCCGGCTGTGATTTCAAA